AGGGGCTCAAAACCTGCAACTTCTGCAGGTTTAGCCCATCTGATAGTTACTGGCAACACTGCATTGTTTCAAGTTTAAACAGTCTCCTCCTGTGATTTGATGACGATCCTACATTCACCCCTCTGGTTTAAATTCTACCCTAGAGAACCAAATATGTGTCTGATCAGGTAAGCGTTACAAAGGTCAGACTGTCCTAAAGTGGGTCTGTGGGTCACATGACCAATTCAATGATAGACCAACCCTCTGGTATAAAGCATCAATATTGGCTGAATGCAGACTTGAAAAATCCTTTAATGTACTTTAGATTGGGCTAATACTTAAGTCAAAATGTACACTGTGTTGCTTCAAAGAGCTCAATGAAAATGAAGATGTGCTGCCATCTTGTACTTTTGGTTACCACTGGCAGTTTATTTTTTTTTTTTTTTTGCTGCAGTACTGAGTTTCTCCAGCAGAGGGCAAGAAAAAGTAAATGTTTCTGAGGAATTTAAGAGCTTTGTTATAGAGGTAGAGGACTCAGAAATATATTTACTGCATGCTTAAACTAAGCAGCAAAGAACATAGAAAACAAAGAAAGACCATAGAATTTTTGGAGAACTAATGATTAATTTAAACCCTAGAAAAAATAAAGTAAAATAATAGAAATAGTGAAATTGCACTTAAACTTATAAACAGCAGCCTGCTGTATGACTTTCAATCAGCCAGAAACCTTCTAGGTTCTTCTCTGTCCTAAAAGTTGTAAAGGGGAAGTTATACCTGCAGATCCACACAGAAATCAACAAACTGTGGCTCAGATGTGGGCAGAAAGCATCAGATAAAGGCAGCTTGAGTCATATAGGGGCAAAGGATAAAAGATCTCTCAGACACTGCAGACACCATCATAGCAACCATCAACTGGATTAGCTGATTAGTTTGTGTTTTTTCCCCAGCACACTGTCAGAGGGTGAGCATAACCAATAAAGAAGGACCACAACAATAATAACAATTTTCAAAATTTTAAAATCTGCCTTAAAGAATTATTATTTTTTTAACACTGATCAATGTTGGGTTTAATTAATCTTATATTTTAGATAACCTGATAAATTGTGTTCTGGTGCTTCTTTCTTCCCTATAAGTTAATTAGTTGATGTAAGAACTATGCCCTATCATATTTTTTTTTTATATAGACTCATTACTTACTAATCTTTTTTTGGCACGAGGATGAAGAAACATCTATTCTCTGTGAAAAGCTTATAGACTGATGATGAGGGTGAACTTTTTTCATTATACATTGTTTAAACAACTTTTTTATATAATAACACAAGCTGGAAATTATGAATATACTCGTATTCACAGGGAGAAAATTAAACTCTAATGGATTAATAGATAGATACACCGCCCAAAATACTAAGATCCTGTTTTGAAACTAATGAATGAAACTTAAGTTTGCTTTTGTGTTCTTCTGGCAGTTTCTATAGTTTTTAGAAAAGATTAAGAATTTGTTGGAAATCCATTATTCTGATTACTATGTGCCAAAGAGTTCAGTGTTTGAATTTTTTGAGGATACAAAAAATCCTCAGAAAGGTAAACGTCTAACTGATCTTGGTATTTTTAATATTTATGTAAAATTTGGGGCAACAACATTTCTTGATCGACACAATTTCTGTCAGCATTGATACGAAGCTGGGCTTACTGCACATAGTGATATTTGCGTAGCATCAATTTTCAGGATGAGCTGCGGCGATTTCTGGTTTTGAGGATCCCTAGTCTTTTCCTTTCATCTCTGTTTTGGGTCAGAATGTTCAAATTTTTTCCAAAATAAGGGTTTAAAACAGAACAGTGATTCCAAGCAAACATCAAAAAAGGTTTTGTAATTAATAGAACAGCCTAACAGAAAAAATCCTTAATCAATTTAAACCTTAGTCCCTTTCAAAATAATTGTTAAAATAAATAACAAAAATTTAACTTTTAACTTTTCATCAGACCAATATGAGGAAGAAATTACCTGGTATGTATCACAATAATACAATTATCTAAAAATAAGTGTAATGCAGTAATAGACAATCACGTTAACACACAGAATAAAATAAAAACTTTAATATTGACTTTACACTTTAATACAAAAGTCTTATACAAAATATTTCTGTCGGTTTGCTGAGAAATTGTTTTTCTGCATTAATAAGGCACATTAACATGCTTAGCTTGGGTAAATGGAGAAAGCTGGCCTTTCCTCCAGTTTAGCATCCTTAAGACATTACATATACATTTCCTAATTCTCTGGTCTGAATAAACAGACATAAAATCTAACATTAAGGTAATCTGGAAAAAAAACAAACAAACACACTCACAATCACAATAGTACTGTGAAAAAACTCCTGAACCACTCTTCTTCCAAAATATCCTGTAATCTCTTAAATTGGACCTGACTAATACTGCCACAGCGTTTTGTTAAAAGGTTTTTTCCTCAGGAAATCAGTGAATTGTTAGTTTCTGTCCAGTTCTTATTCAAGGAATTTGTTAAAGACAAAACATAAACATTTGGTAATAAAGGAAAAGAAAAAAATGCTGAACGTTGAACCTCAAACATGATACATGACGTACAAAACAATTCATTTCTTTGGTTATGACAGAAAGAAATAGCAGACAACATTCAAACCAAAGGCTTCTAATCAGGCTTTACTCAAGTATTCAAAAACAGGTGTTTGATGGATTCATTAAACATTCTCTTTCAGAAACTGCTAACCTGCTGTAGACCCACAGACCCAGCGCCTCTCCTTTTTTGTAAAGATGTGCAAAAAAAAACACATTTATCCTCCAGCAGCCTTATCTCACTGAATATGAGAAAAAACCCCATCTGCTCTTCCAGTCATCTAGAGCCACTATCCCGCAGAGCAAAGACACATTCTTACTCCAGCACACCTGAATATAACGGTTGACTAACCTCGTCAGTATCAGACTAAGACTGCATCTGGATTGTAGCTCCTCCTGCAGCTCTTGTTCCTTCAACTTTTGTGGGCTCAACAGTAAGAACTCTATTATGGGCAAAAAAAGAGATCCAGACTGCTGCCATGAATCCTGACAGCCTTCCACCTTATGGATGTCATTATGCATGAATGAGGGTAGTCTAATTGAGACTACAACCGACTGGAAAAGAACTACCGGTACAAAAAAAAAAAAAAATGTACACACATTTTGTAAAGCTCCTGAGATGGGCTGTGCCTATATATGATTGTGGGAGTCCGTATAGTTCCTCATTGCAAGATTCGACTTCTATGCTAAATGACCTAAGTGTAGGAATAATCCTGCTTCCTTTTAACCCCTTCCTTAGTGCCAGCACTAATGAAATGCAAACACTTTGAAATACGTGTACTTATAACTTTGCAAAATTCATATGTAGCTGGTGACGCCTTTCTAACAGCTATGCATTTGATCCAGTTGTGTTGGAGCTTTAGTAGATCTACATGTTGCAAAATGGAGGCTCTGCTTGGATTTCAGTGCATTTACTCTTTGTATTAATCGGCCATATTTAAGGATCAACTAATCATTTTGGGAAAAAAATTCAAAGTTCAGATATAAGCAATGACATAATTTACAGAAAATGTTTAGCTGCAAGCACTGCATGCCCAGGCAAGTGAGTCTTCATCATTGTAGACAGCACGGCATAGTTTGAGATTAAAGTATCACTGACCATTGCAGTGAGATGAGTCACTTCTGTCAATTATTCAGGTGGTGGCAAACATAAATACTGTGTAAAGGTTCTGACAGTTTCTCTATTGCAGACTGGCTTATAGGCTGGTGAAATGTGTTTTTTTTCTACAGAGGGAAACTTTCTGTGAACTCTTAAAAAAGAAATTTCAAAACAAAACAAAAATTTCTGTGACACATTCATTTTACTTTGGTAAAGTGCCTTTAAAAGCCAGGAGGCTGGAACATAAAAAGCTATTTTTACCATTTGATCAACTACAAAAATCTTGTAAAATCGACATGTCCTTTAAAAAGAAGGCAGCTTTTAAAGTTTAAAGATCTTAAATGTTCCTTTTAGTATTTAAACATTTTGTTCTAAAGTTTAGGAAAAATCAAGAATGTCGATGAAAATATTTTTTTGATCAAAACATTTTTCATGTTAGAATAGTCAGCATACAGCCTAATGAAAGAAAAGACTGTGTTTTTCTGCATAACTAAGGAAAAAGATTAACCTTATACACGTGAAGGACTTCTAGAAAGATATTTTATATTTTTTTTATAAGGTTAAATTTCAACCAGTAGCATTTCATAAATCTCCTGAGTCATTGGCTTTATTCTTTTTATGATCACAAGACTTCCTTCAAACACAGTTCTATATCATAACGGGCCAAAGTTACTAAGCTCTAGTGTTGAGAAGGTAAAGAAGCACTGATGGAGTTGGTGAGAAAGGTTGCAGAGTTCATATTCTGGGCCAGTTAAACCAAATGCAGATATGCAACAAATCATTCACTTCCTTCATGCTCTAACAGCTGTGTTACAGTTTGAATGATGGTCACTTTTTTTTACCAGCCTATTTGATCAACAAAGTGTGAAATATTTAAACAGATATATATATATATATATATATATATATATATATATATATATATATATATAGTTTTAGATACGCAAAGTTTTCAAGAAAAGCATGAAAGGAAAAGCCACTTTAATGGATGTAGGCTGAAAAGAAATAACTTCCATTTGTAACATCATTTAGGAACTTGTCTGCCGTGACATCTAAGCTCCTAAAACACCAAAGGTTGCACAGACTGACATTTCAACCTGTAGATTCTACCTTGTCCCAGAAGGAGGCGCAGCTGTTACAGAAGGTCCATCTAATGGGGGTAAATGGAAGGCAAAACATTCCCTAAAACTCCCCATTAGACAACCATGGTGAAGTCTCCAATAGATTGTATTTAGGGCTTATTCCAATAATGCCACAAAAGCTGCTAGCTGCACTTTTCCACTTTCCTCATATAGCCATAAAGTCTCACTATGCCTTAGTTTTTTTGTTTTTTTTTGGTTTAATGCTTCTTTAGTAAACACTGTGCTGGTGCAAGAACACTATTTATGCTTTCACAGCAGTCAGCTTTGGCACTTTTGGCAGATGCAACGAAAGGCATAAGCATAAACAGTATACCCATTAGGGATACAGTTAAAAGCTGTTAGCTAGTAAGTTTGATGCCTTTCGTTGATGAGTGAGAGAAAAGCCCACATTTCATTAGAAATGGACTGAAAACAAAACAAACTGAAAAGAGGTAATGGCGTTCTGCAAAGAAGGGAGACAATTGGATTGGAGCATTATGAAGAGAAGGAAATGAGTGTGGGTCAGGAGTTTTGTGCAGATTTCTTTCCTTCACTCTGACAGGTTTTTCTCCTTGCACAATACATCCCTGCATAGATTCTTAGATTTTTTTTTATACACAAAACTTTCCTTTTTTGTCTGTCTAGAAATCATTATCCAAACAAACACATGCAATATGAAAACAATATAGGCACTTGAATACAAAATAAGCTGTATATTAGTGTAATAAAATTCTCTGTAATTTACTTTGCCTCCTTTTAAAACATGTGCAGTCCCATAATATGCTGCACCAGTTTTTGTTTTGCTGAAACTGAATGTTTTATCCTCTTTGGCGTGCATATACACATAAATTCTCATTTATAAAGTGCGAATAGTACTTGGTGAAAAATGATGCATCATCTGATCTCCCGCATTTGTTTCTGACTTGATTCCTGATCATTTCTCTGGTAACAAATCACTGTCATGTAGGTCAACTTCCAGTTCGTCTCCTGTGCCACAAATCTGATGGACTAAACAACTCTAACTGAAAGTCCTTTCTTTCAAAGCTGTTTGGTTGTAATGCCTCAAACACCCTGGTGGGGGCAGCAACTTTGTGGAGAGGTTACTTCTCATCCACGACTATGATTTCCTCCAGGAGCTTCTCCTCTGAGTCGGAGCAGTCTGATAGCTTGTCCAGGTACTCGATGTCGTCGAAGCGCTCAGCAACGCACTGAGCTGTGAGTCGGGCCTCTGGGTCATGGTCCCAACATTCCTCTATAGAGCCGCACACCATCTGGATGCCCTGTGAAGGGAAACAAGTGAGGGTCAGTCAGAGAGGGACTGTAGAGCGGCATCCCTGGTGTCTGTTAGAAGGTGACATGACGGGGCTCATTTTTACTTATAGTAGAAAATATTTAGAACATCAATATCAATTCACAAGCTTTTATTTTTAAGAGGTGAAATACAGAACACAAAATCATTTTCAGTAACTAAGCAAGTTTAGCTGTGCTTTTATTGGACAAAACTAAACCTAAGACAAATTATTTTGATTGTTGGACAAGTTTGAAAGGCAGAAATGTACATTAGGAACACAATAATAAATAAAAATGTTTGATTTTTCAAACTTATATAGAGCATGACAATTATTAATGGCCTTGGAAAATCTAGATTTTAACCTTTGCATTCAAACAATAAGTTTGTTTCTGACGAGAAATAAAAATACTTCATAATAAAACAATATTAAAGGAATGCCAATTACAAAGATGCATCTATATATATCTACGGTCCAGTAAAAATAACTTGAGAATTAATATATTCCTCTTCATTATTCAAGTAAAAGTCATCCTTTGCAGAACACCAACTATGCCCTGGCTTCGAATACTGGCCAGGTTTTATATGTTTCCAGTTTTTTTTAAGCAGCTAAAGTTGAGATCAGTTTTTTCCATATTTTTTTTTCCATTACATAATAAGTTGTTTCAGTGAAGAATTAGAGATACTTTATAACAGACCATCATCAAATGGTGCATAATCCCACGCAAAGTTGGTTGAGAGTATCAACCAACTTTTCACATCAGTTTAATACTTTTTGCCAAGTCTTTGCATAAAAGTTGCAAACCTTAGACTGAAATGTTCCTGCAAGAGCTTCACATTGTATTTGATTTAGACTGACTTTGCCATTTTACCTGAACTCCATTTAATGATTATGCAACATAAGATGCCATTTAATTGCATTTCATTTTGTACTACCCTTTGCTAGATTACGGCATTTAATTCCCTTAGAAGTAAGCATTAAGTCACTGGAGTTTGTGGTTTTAATATGACTGAATGTTAAAGGGCCAAAATCATGCAAAATCAAAGTTTCAAGCTGTTAGCTATGTTATAACTGTGTTATAACAAAGCTAACATTATTTTGCCTAATTAATGCACCCCTCAGTAATCCTTGTGGGTTCTTTTGTTTGAGCAGAAGCCCCTCCCTGTCTGATGAAAATGAACAATTGGAGAAGATCTATGCAGGAAGCACCTACATTGACCACACTGTGAACAAACGGCCGCTTTCTCTGATCAGGGAGGCGAGCGCAATGATTCTGGCACCAAGTTTAGACAAACTGCCTCTTTTAGCAGCTAATCTGCAGAGGGCAGAAATGTTCCTTTTTTGCTAATGCTTTCGTAAAAAAAAAAAAAAAAA